CTGCAGTGCTGCATTTAACCACTGCGCCACCTCGGCTCCTATACTATATCAATCTATAATATAGTAACTTTATTTCTTAAATTTTTAGTGCTTTGAAACTTTTGGCAGCACAGAAGTTGTTGAATAGCAAACCCCAGCAAAACTCACTTAGTGGTATGCTGGCTGGGATCTCTGGGGAATAGTTCAGCAATAATTGGAGATCAGGGTTCTTATTCCAACCAAAATTTTGTCTTTTGGAATCAATATGTTGTCAATGGTGCTAAACATAAGATTTTTTCATTATGTATTTTTCCTTTTTTAAATTATTTGTTCACTTATTTTCAGTTTGCAGAGATTACTTTAAATTCTTAGCATTGTATATGTTCTAAGCATTTATGAGGAGGGGAAACCACCATTCCTTAAAAGCAGGATTTTTTTAAAAAATAAAACAACTAAAGTCTTCTCCAAAATTATCATGTGATGGTTAATATTTATTTTAACATAAGTACTATTTAAAGCACATGCTAGTTTTTGGGGCTATGTCCTAACAAAATAATTTACAAAAGGTTGATTTCTTATGTATATATGGAGATATAGCTCATCCCACACTCAGCAAGATATTCAGGCTGGATTTGACATTTTTATCCACCTATTTTCTTTCCCAAGAACCTGCAATAGGCAGATGTGGATGTTTTATGCTGTTATAGGTATCATTACAGAATGTAAGATGTTCTGAGTAGAGCTGATTTTTGCAATTGAGTGATGATGCATTTGTCAATACCAATTGTGTTCAAGTGGTGTTCCAGTTGTTTTGGGATTGCACCAATGGCATCTACTATTTGTGGGTGGGTGTAATTGTATTCTTTTAAATAATAGTTTTCTACTTTATAAGTTATTTAAGAAAAAATACACTTCATTTCCATTGTTTTTCTTCAAACAATAACAATTCCCCATATATACCAGATATAAAGTTGAGCATTAATGAACAGACCTGATGTTAGCTATTAGTATAGCAAAGCACCTATCAGATCCCATATACTACACTTTTTGATAAAAACAACTTGACAACATTTAAAAGAGCCAGGTTCCATGAATTCTGCAATAGAATCTTTATTCTGGACTGAACAACCCACGACTGACTGAATTTGCTGCTGATGCTCCAAAACAATAATGGGAGATATTTACAGAATTTGTTCAGATCCTTCAAGCCATTTATAACCTCAGTTTTTTATTTCTTAACCAAAATAATGCAGAGAAGAGCAAAAAGATGATTAGGGACCTGGAGGGTAAAACATACGAAGAACAGTTGCAGGAATTGGATATGGCTAGTCTAATGAAAAGAAGGAAGGTGACATGATACCAGTGTTTCAAAATCTGAGAGACTGCCACAAAGAGGGAGTAGACCTATTTTCCAAAGCACCAGAAGGCAAAACAAGAAACGTGGATGGAGCTAATCAAGGAGAGACAAACCTAGAACTTAAGGAGAAATTTCTTAACAGTGAGAACAATTAACCAGTAGAATGGCTTTCCTTCAGAAGTTTTGGATGTTTCAACACAGGAGACTTTGAAGAAGAGACTGGACAGTCACTTGTTTGAAATGGTATAGGGCTTTCTGCTTGAAAAGAAAGTTGGACTAGAAGACATCCAAGGTCCCTTCTAACTCTGTTATTGTTATTTTAAATATATATTTCTGCCAGTAGAATTTATAAGAATATATATTAAAACAGACAATTCTCTATTTTTCTTTTGTTTTTAAACCCAGTTCTTTATTCACATATATATAACTTTTATTGCAAGCTTACCAGTAATGTCACACCAATTAGTATTCCAAAAGCGGTACTATATATGAACTACCAAAATAATTTTTAGCAGCACAACAATTGGTTTATTTATTGGAGGTAGAAGGAATAATGCATCAGAAAATTAGTAGATTCAAAATACTGCACCAGAGATTGACTGCCTACCTAAATATATGAAGAGTTCAAGAAATAGGATATACTGATATATCGCTACTTTGGTCAGCAACCAATATTCTCTTAGAACCATTAATTGACACATATGAAATCCAGTTTACTTTCTCTCCATGTTCAATGGTCAATTTGGGTGAAATGGATAGGCATTCATTTGTGTATTCTGGGTTCATCTTGTCAGCTTTCTTGGTGGCATTTTTCTTTTTGTGAATTGCCTTGTTTGGACTTTTCAATTTTCCAATTTCACTGCTAACATCCCACAACAATACTTTGCCATCATTTCCCCCTGTAATAAAGCAATACATTTCTGGCAGAAAGAAAATCTGTGATACTCCTAATGAATGTCCTTTAAATGCTACTTCCTGTTCAAATTTGGCACCTGTTACTCGAAAGATTCTGATTTTACCATCTTCAGCTCCACAGCCAAAGACATTCCCACAAGTAGAAACAGACAATGAATGAATCAATGGTGGGTTAAAAAGTTGGCCAATCCCTTGCTCAAATGGGTCTTCTTCTTGCAAGTTCATAATCCATAGTGGGCGAGTTTTTTGCACGTTCCACATTATAATCTGTAAACAAAACAAAAACAAATGAATAAATATAAATATGTATATTACATATCTTTGTACACATATAAGCCTATCAAATAAGTGCTATATAGTAAGATTTCAACTACTGCTGATCACCTTCATATCCAGGCCACATGAAAGAAGGCTTTGTGGCCTCTGGGGTCGAAATGCAGTAGATGCACAAATATTTGAATGTCGTTTCAGGCAGCGACTCAACTTCTTGCTTTGTAAGTCAATTATCTTTATGGCTCCAGAATCATCTGCAGCAGCCAAGAAGCTTTCTGTTTCATTTATTGAAAGACAATTGATCTCTTCCTCATTTACATGGAAACATTCAACTGGCTCCTTGAGACACCTGGTATCCAGCATGCTAATAATTTCCCCATGAGAAGCATAGAGTCTTCTAGAACAAGTGGGAGAAAATACAATGCTAGTGACATCATCTGCTTTTTGAAGCCGTACACATTCCAGAGGATTTCCTTCAGTATTCCAAATTGTGAGCTCCCCTCCTTCTGCTCCTGAAGCCAATAGACCATCTTTGCTCACATTTAAGCTTAGTACTGGAGAAGAATGTCCATTGGTCCACTTCTTTGACATCATATCTCAAAGCAGACTGGAAAAAAAAAGATCAGCAGGGTAACATTTCGTTTTGAAACATATTGTGGAATCAAAAGGTGATTTTATTGTGTTATTTTTAGATTAACTTACTCAAGCAAAGCATCTACTGGTTTCAACACTTAAACATCTAAATTCCAGTATATTGGCCATTATATTTATGCAATCACAATCAATAGATTTAGGACACTAATATTTTCCAATGTAAACTTAATCCTTAGGCACAATGTATACGGTAGTGTGTATAAACGCAATGCCTGTTTGAGATAGGCCACTGAATAAATACATATAGTCTTCCAAATAAGCGTATAACAAATCAGCGATCTTAACCCATCCACCACTTTCCTATTTCACTCGATACCTCAAAGCAAAGAACCAATTTTTCCCGATCCCGAACTCTCTTCCGGCAAATTAAAAACTGCTGGGTCGGCTTAGCATTCCCCCTTGCCAGGTGACGTTTTTGCGCATGCGTTTACGACAGCACCCTCTTTCTCATGCTCAGCAATGCCCTCAACCAAAATGGCCGACTCACGTTCAAGGCCCTGCTCCATACCGCATAACATTAAAATAAAACAAGTAAAAGGTGCGTTGTCTGAGAAGCTAGCTTCAGCAGAGTGCCTAGATTGTTCTTACTTCAGCCGTACCCGGAAACGTAAAATCAGGAGCAGCAGATCCTGGCGCTTCCGTACAACAAGCTCCCTATCAAACAAAAGCGTTCGTTTCCGCCTCTCCTTGCCGGCAGCAGGCGAGGAGTTCGTTGGCAGGGTAGCACCTCCTACTTTTGCAGCCGTCGGCGCGCGCCGGATTGGCTCTCTGGTTAGCGGGTAGGCTCGCGGTTTCTAGCCGCCTTCGCCTGGGCCGGGCCGGTCGGTTTGGAAAGGCGTGCGCGCGCAGAAGGCGAAGGCCGGTGGTCAATCGCCTGAGGCTATGGCGGCAGCGGCGGCGGCTGCCGGCAGCAGCGGAGCGCCGAACTCAGCCGCCGCTGCGGGGGGTTGGCGGCTTCCCGGTAGGGTCCTCGAGTTCGTCTTCTCCTACTTGGACCTCCGGGAGCTGCGGAGCTGCGCGTTGGTGTGTAAGCTGTGGTACCGCGTTTTGCACGGCGACGAGAACAGCGAGGTGTGGCGCAGCCTGGCGGCTCGCAGCCTCGCCGAGGAGGCGCTACGCACCGATATCCTCTGCAACGTGCCCACCTACAAGGGCAAGGTCAGGCGAGCCTGTAGGGCGACGCTTCAGCGCGCTCCGTTCCGTGTTCGTGCGCAGGCACACACTGAAGGTGGGGAAAAAGAGGTGGGGGGTGGTAGTGGCCGAAGAGGCAGCTTCTCTCACCAATCGGCTCTCTTGTCAAGTCCGGTGCAGCTTCCCAGCTCCCATTTCTAGCCTTTCGGATGCTGAGGATGGGGGCTAAGCATGGGAGACGCGGCTCGGTTGTTTTGGGGGGTGGGCGGGCTAAACTCATGGGACTGCTGGTAAGGCAGGAGAGGAGATTCCCTCGCTTGCTCAGAGATACCCTGATAGGCTGCTTTGTTCAACCCCGAGAGTGCCCGCAGATTCCAGAGTTGTCATATATACTTTCACACACTGTCGGTTTTTTTGCTGAGCGTTGCATCGCAGTAGTGGGGTAACCATTCCTTATCCACACGTTGTGTAGATGTGGCCTAGGTGTATTTTGTATTAGACACTGTGGTGCTGCCTTAAGCTTAGGCAGCAAATTCCATCATACCAAAGCAGGAGGAGTTGGTGGAAGAACTGGAACTGAGTGAGAATTTGTCATTTAAAATCCTTTGTAGGTTTGCTTCTTATCTTCTTTCGCAAGTCCCTATACCTGTATGACTTTACCTTAAGATGTATATCTTATATCTTTTCGTAGGTCATATACCTGCAAAATAGACATTTCCTCATTTTAATATTATATAAACCACTTTGGCAAGCTTTTTCTGAAGAACCAAGTAAAAATGTTGTAAATAATTAAAATAAATGTACTGTTGTAAAGATTAATAGGAAAATGAGCCAGGTACTGTCTCATGGAAAAGTCATCCAGTAGCACAACTGGAAAGGAGAGCAACTGAAAAAAACGATTCCTGTTCTCTCCTTTCTCTGCTTAACTCAGTGGTTCTCAACCTTCCCAATGCCGCGACCCTTTAATACAGTTCCTCATGTTGTGGTGACCCCCGACCATGAAATTGGTGTCTCGGTTCCTAAGACCATAGAAAATATGTGTTTTCCGATGGTCTTAGGCGACCCCTGTGAAAGAGTCGTTCGACGCCCAAAGGGGTCCTGACTCACAGGTTGAGAACCACTGGCTTAACTGTTTTTGAAAGGCTGAGTCAGGCTTCTGCTCTTCATCATCCAGTTGGACTGAGGATGTGGAATTGTGACACAAACTGAATTTTGTTTTATTGTCTTTTACAGAGTAGTTGTGGCGAAAAACACATCTTTAAGTTTTCCACACATCACTGAGAACTAATTGATGCACGTGTTCTGGTGCTGACGAATTTTTAGTTACTCTCCTCTCAGAGTGACGCTGCAAACTTACAAGTGGCTCATTACAACGAGATATTTAAAATCTATTTCTAATGTAGTCTTCATTGATTAGGCTATTTGTGCTAATACTGCATATGTAGCAAACACAGAATATAATACTGCTGCCAACTAATAAATGCTTAAATAATTTAGTCTTTTTTTGTGGAGGTGGTTTCTAATTTCTTATCTCACATCTGCAACATGGTTCAGAATGTTTTCTCTGTCCTGTGACCATAGTTTTGAAGTATTAAGTCTTGGTCTCTATTGCAGTGATACAAAAATAAAATATTTATTCAAGAATGAATATAAGCATTTGAATAATTAATAGTCTTAGTTTGAAAGACTTCCTCAACTTCCCTTTATTTTTTAAAACTTTTTTTTTAGGTACGTGCCATTCAGCATGCTTTCAGCACCAATGATTGTTCCAGAAATGTTTATATTAAGAAGAATGGATTTACTTTGCACCGGAATCCCATTGCTCAGAGTACCGATGGAGCAAGGACCAAGATTGGCTTCAGTGAAGGCCGTCATGCTTGGGAAGTCTGGTGGGAAGGTCCTCTTGGTACAGTGGCAGTGATTGGAATTGCTACAAAAAGAGCTCCCATGCAGTGTCAAGGTTATGTAGCTCTCCTGGGGAGCGATGACCAGAGCTGGGGCTGGAATTTAGTGGACAATAATTTATTACATAATGGAGAAGTCAATGGCAGTTTTCCACAGTGCAACAATGCCCCAAAATATCAAGTAAGTGAAATCCGATGTTTTTTTGAAAGGGCTACATCAGTGTTATGACAAATTATTTATTCTGCATTTAACTTCATTTTTCCTATTCTGTCATGCTTAATTCCATATTTTCTCATGCTCCAATCCCTTGCATGCTGAAGATCTGCTTTAAGGGATACCTTAATTTTGAAAGAGATTTGGAGGGTCTATGTAGACATAGAAAGGAGCAAAAAGAATCTTTTCCCCTGGGAAGCATTGCTTGCACAGAAGAAATGCATTGTTGGTTGCAAATTGGAAGCAACCAAACTTGATTAGAAGATGAGCAGCTATCTTGTTAAATAAATATAAATAAACAAATAAAAATAAATTTTAATAAACAAAAAACTTTTGCTGAAATGTTAATGAGCTGAGCCTTCAGGATTCTTAGGCAATGTTTTGAATGAATTTTGTTTTAAGTTAAAAATTTCTGAATATGTATATATTTCAGTCCCTATTGTTCAGTGAATTTTATTCTAAAAATATCTGTAGTTAAGACAGTGTAATCATTTAAAGCACCATGTACTACATAAAATGTACATAAAAAGGCTGTATCTTAGTTTATTAACATTCAAAATGTATGTTCAAAGTACCTAACTGTATCTGTTTGTTTATGTTGTTGTTTTTCCTCTAGACATTTGTCATCTCTCTCAATCTTTCCTCTTTTTGTTTACAGATAGGTGAGAGAATTCGTGTTATCCTGGATATGGAAGACAAGACCTTGGCTTTTGAGAGAGGCTATGAGTTCTTAGGAGTTGCATTTCGAGGACTGCCAAAGACATGTCTGTATCCAGCAGTGTCTGCTGTATATGGCAACACTGAGGTGACGTTAGTTTACCTAGGAAAACCTTTAGATGGATGATATTTTTGTGTTGTTTTTACTTTGTTTTTGTTTTTTTAGCAAGAACATGAAAATCAAGTTGACAATGTGGAGAAACCTGCATATTGGTTAACAGGACAGCATGAGGAAAATACATGGATGTGTGCTCAAGAAACCAAAACTTGTGATTAAAAAGACCAACTGTTCTTAACAGGGTGCACTGACATTTCCTTTTTCTGCCGGACCAGAAAAATTCCTCAGGGCGGGTTTACAGTTAAACAGGCAGTTAACCACAAGCATGTTGCATTGGATTTTGTACCAAGAGTGGCAATATGGAATCCTGTATATACATAAGGAATTGTTTCATAGAAGTAATTGAGGAAGTTATCTAATATGTGAAAGTAACGTGTTCTGTGGGAAAGGTTTCCATTTTGAAAGCGATTTGTTCTTTTCCAACTTTTAATCCAGTGTGTTTTACCAAAGGTAATAAACTTGGATTTTATTTAATATATTTTGGTTGTGCTTGGAAGCACTGATTCTGGAGATCAGTTTTCCAGAGCTATATTGTGCAGCTATACTGAAGTGTATTTTAAAAATTGTTTGTTAGAAACTAAAAATGGAATGAAAGAAAGGTTTGCTAATCAGTTTCTCAAATGGAAAAACCACTACATGTCAAATGTCAATCTTTGTCTAGGAATTGGACAAAATATATACAAGTGCATTTCTGTTTTGTTGTGCCACATCTCTTTTGGTAAAAGGAGCAATGTTTCCTTATTAAATAATGGTTGAGATTGATCAATAGAATAGTATATATGTGGAAGGGTAAAATTTATTTCTAATGTATTTTGAAAAATTAGGTTTCCAAAGTATTTCCAAATAGCGGTAATTTCAAAATATTCAATTCCTTAAATTAAATCAACTGAAATGTAAACAGGAATTCTATCCCTGATACACAAATTTCATTATGGGTGGGTTTAATTTTGTTAACATTTATTACAAAGGCTGAAAAGAATTTGTAAAAAGTTAATCGATTTTATGTGGTGGAAATACTTGTGGATGATAGAATGATTGTCCTTTCTCACAATAGTTTTCCCCCAGATTATCCTAGATCTTTGCCATTCCCTGGTATCCATTGCCTGCACAATTTATCTTTTAATTTTGTAATTCCACAGGCCAGCTGTTGGTACTAAATGTTATTTTGTTTATAAATCTATTTATTTAAAGATATTGATAAAATACTTTCAGTGCAAACCTGTGC